TTTTATTTACAAAACTCAAATACATTATTTTCAAGAACAAATTCTTTCAAATTCCTTCACCCCCTCACCCATCAAACTGTACAACCCCATGAGTAAGACCCACCACCCCCACACATCCTCATCCTTCTGCAACCTTTGATTTTGAGTCTTATTTTTCTCTTCATTTATTAGATGTATCTCGTGTAGACAACATATTGATGAGCTTTGTTTTTTTTTCCTGTTACTACTAGTTTTCTTTTGATTGGTTCATTTAGTCCAGGCCAGGTTTTATCATTACCATTTTGCTGTGCTACCTTTTCTGTTGTTTCTTGTTACTATGGTCCGTCCACTTTCCTTTGGTGTCTCTAGGTGAAGGACCTCCCTTAAAAATTCTTGTAGATTTAGTCTTGTTTTCACAAATTTCTTAAGTTCTTTCTTTTCTGCAAAGGATATTATTTCTCTTTCATATTTGATGGAGAGCTTTTCTGAGTACAGGATCCTTGGTTGGATTTCTTTCAACTTTCTGTATATGCTATCCCATTATCATCTTGTTCACATGATTTGTGCTGAAAAAAGTCAAAACTTAATCTAATTGCTCTTCCTTTGCAGGTGATTCTTTGTTTTTCTCGTGCTGCTTTCAGTATTCTCTTTTGCTTTGGAGAACTTGACTATGTCTTTATGTTTTCCTTTTTGGGTCTAGTCTATTGGTGTTCACTGAGCTTTGTGAATGTGGATTTTCCTGTACTTCGTAATACTTGAGAAGTTTTCTTCTAGTCCCTCTTCCACAATTTTCTCAGTGATTTCCCTACCCCTCTTATATTCTGGAATTCTAATCACACGTATGTTATTCCTTTTGATATTCCACATGATTCTAATGTTTCCTTCATTTTTTTAATGTCTCATTTCTGATTTTTCTTCTGTTTCTATTGTGATTCTTGCCTTCAAGGTCACTGACTTTATGCCTCATCTCTTCTGTTCATCTTTTTTGTCCTTCAAGCATGTTGGACACTTCTGCCATTTCTGTCTTAATATTCTGGATTGCATTTTCATGCCTTTCTGTTATTTCTAGTACTTTGTTGGCAGTACCCTCTCCATCTTGTGAAGATTTTTTAAGTTCTTATAGTTTTTATCTATGTTTTCAATTCTTCCAATTTTTTGCATTTTCTTCCATATTTGTGCATGTTCTCATCAACATATTTCTTTTTTTTAATTTTAATTAAAGTTTACAGAGACCTTGGATTTCGATTCATTCATTGTTGCACATGCTCGTCCCTGCCCACCCTCCCCCCAGTTCACTTTTCTCTTTCAAAAGTTAAAAAAAAATCTTTCATTGTTTTACAGTCCCCCCCAACCCTCAGTCTACTCCACTATGCAGCTTTCATTCTGGACTCTTGTCATGACAATAATACCTAATCATATATTCCACCTAAATAGTTCTCTCCCTCATTTATTTCAATGCAATATATTTTATTTATCCCCTCTTAGTTTTCCCCCAACCTCAGTGTCAGTCCCACTTTTGAACAGTGGCACTATGCAGTATTTGTCCTTTTGTGACAGGGATATTTCACTCAGTATAATATCCTTCAGGGTTACCCAGTTTGTATAATATTCTGTGGGTTCCTTGTTTTTCCATACAGCATAGTATTCCATGAATAATCCACTCCTTCTCTATCCATTCATTTGTTGATGGGTACTTGGGTTGTTTCCAAATCATTACTATTGTGAACAAAGCCAAAATAAACATGGGTGTGCATATATCTGCTTGGATGTCAGTTCCAGTTTCTTTAGGTTATATTCCCAGTAATGGAATTGCTGGGTCAAATGGTATTTCTGTTTCCAACTTTTTGAGAAAGTGACATACTGCCTTCCATAATGGTTGCACCATTTTACACTCCCACCAACATTGAATAAGGGTTCCAGTTTCTCCACAACCTCACCAGCATTTGTTGCTTGCTGTTCTGTTAAATTTTGCTATTGTTACTGGGGTGAGATGACAACTCATAGTTGTTTTGATTTGCATTTCTCTTAGAGCTATGGATTTTGAACATTTTTTCATGTGTGTGTTTGCCGTCTGAACATCTTCTTTGGTGAAATGTCTGTTCATATCCTGTGCCCATTTTTCAGTTGAGTTATTTACCTTTATCTTGTTTTGGTGCTTGACTATTTTATAAATTCTAGATGTAAGTCCCTTCTCAGACTTGTCATTACCAGATATTTTTTCCAGTCTATGGTTTCCCTTTTTACCATGTTGGAAAAGTTTTTGGATGTGCATAGGGATTTTAATCTTAGAAGATCCCATTCATCGATTTTATCCTCTCTGGATTGTAGGTTTTTCAGGATGCTTGGAAGACTTTATATTGTGGATTAAGGCTTCTAGAGTTCTTCCAAGCTTTTCTCTAAAGAAGTTTATAGTCCTTGGTTTTAGTCCTATGTCTTTGATCAACTTTGACTTGGTTTTTGTGTATGAAGTGAGGTATGGATCTTTCTTGAGTTTTCTACAGATAGTTTTCCAATTTTGCCAATACCATTTGTTAGAAAGGCTGTCGTTTCCCCATTTAACTGATTTCATCTCCCTGTCAAAAATCAGTTGACCATAGATAGATGGGCTGATTTCTGGATTCTCAGTTCTATTCCATTGATCTATGTGTTTGTCATTGTACCAGTACCACGCTGTCTTGACTGCCACGGCAGTGTAATAGGATTTGAAATCAGGGAGTAAAATGCCTCCTATCTTGTTTCTCTCTCTCTCTCTCTTTTTTTCCAGGAGAGAATTTCATTCATGTTATTTCTTATTTGACACAAAAACTTTGAAGTAGCAGTATATATTCTCTTCCTCTATGCAAAAGTACTAAAATTGCTTAACTAAAATTAAATAATAAAATTATAGTTGTCCTTCAAAACCTTGTTTCTCTTTTTAAGGAGTGCTTTGCTCACCCGGGCCCTCTTTCCATTCCAAAAAAATTGGAGAATGCCTTTTCTATCTCATTGAAGAAAATGTATTTCTTCTGGCTCCATGATTTGGAGCATTTGCTTTCTTACTGGTTTCCATGTTTTCTTCAATCATTTGTACTTTCTTCCTTATCTGTTCAAATAAATCTTCATCAATACTTTTTTCCTCATTCTCTACCTTTAGGTTGTTCCCTTTATTTGTGGCTTCCATTGTTCCTTTGATCATTTGTACTTTCATTCGTAGCTGTTTCAATGTCTCCATAGCAACATACATCATCTACCTTCTTGACTCTCCCATTCATAAGGTCTGTAATAGTCTCTGCTTTTTTTGGAGAAAGCTTAATTTTGGGGTGTTTTTCTGTGTTTGACCTTGCCTGCTGCTTCCTTGATATTATGTGAAGTTTTTCTTGATAAGTGGTAGGTTGCTTCTATTGTGTCTGTGAAAGTTGTTGGTGGTTCTTGTCTTTATAAGGATACTAATTAGTTGCCAAGTTAAAATGTTCAGTCTATGGGGTAAGCTACTCACTCTATTGTAAGTTCTTTCTGGGAAAATTTGCCTTTCCTAAAGTCCTTAATGAGATTCTCTGTGTTCTGCACTGATGCCCTGTATTAATCTTACCTTGATGTAGTCCCCTGACACCAACGCTATAGGCCTCCTTCGTGTATGAAGTGGCTGAGTGGTATGAGACCAGGTACTCTACTCAATCATTTTCTCATGCACCTTTTCGCCTGGAGCTTAATCTCTTTGTCTCAGGAGTGGCATGAGATTAGAGATCAGGGCTGCCAGTTCAAGGAGCTTGCATGCAGGTGGTCTCAAGTCAGCGATCTCTCTGTCTGTCTGTCTCTTTCTCTGTGTCTCAGAGAGCTACAAAAATGTTTTCCTCTGCTTGAAGTTCTGAATACTTGTCCTGTTTGGCCCCTCGTATTGTCCTGCTGCCATGGAGACAAGGACCCCTAGATGGAGGTACCAGTAATGTCTCCTCATAAGCAATGGAGAGTGCTCACTTTCAGCACAGAGGCTCACCTCCCTCATCTTTTCTCCTACAGCTTAATGTCTTCCATTGTCTCTGGTGTGGTGGGAGATCAGGACCACCAGCTCTGGTAGCTTGTTTGCAGAGGCTCTCAAGTCAGCCCTCTGTCACAGAGAGCTAAGAAAATTCTTTCCTCTGCTTGAAGTTTTGTATACTAAAGTCTCTTGTCCTGTTTGGCCCCTGGAATGGTCCTGTAGCTGAGAAGGCAATGATCCCCAGTTGGAGGGAACTGTAACCCCAGGGACACCTCAGTCTTGTCTCCTCATAAGCAATCTCCATTAAGTTTTTATGGATAAAATACTCAAGGGAAAAGTAAGTATTTTTAATATTGTGGGAAATTTCCAGGGAACTTACCTAGATTTTTGAGGCATTTGTTATATAACATCTGTAAATTTCATGTGGCTTATATATGTGTAAGTTTTTTATGCCATAGCAGGCAGTCCCACCATTCATTAACCAAGATAATGAATTGTTTTATACTAAATATTTTATAAAATGTAAAATTTATAAATGTATAGTTCTGTAGATGTATAAAAGATAATTAATTTCAAATATTTCTGTAGTTTTAGAAATCATTTATTAACTAACTTTTCATGTGAATTTTGCTTCCAGATATTTCTGTTTTTATGGTTGATCATATTAAAAAAATACAGTGAGAATAAAAGCTAACAATAATGATAGGCTTTGTTGTCTGGCTTATGAAGAAAAGATCTATCATTTAGGATGCTTAAAGCAGCATTAGATACTTAGTATAATAAAAGTCTATATAATAAGATTATCACTTGTTTAAAGTGTTATGCTTTGAAAATAAGGTTTTTTTTCTTTTATATTTATATTACTTAAAAGATTTCCCATAGTAGTATGAGCTGGCATTATTTAGTTATAATATTTGCACTTTATGCATCAAGCATTTTTGAAGTATAATTTAGGATATAGATGAGGTTTAATTCATAGCGTTATTTCAGTGTACTTTATGTTGGATATCTTATGTCTTCTGTGCAGATTTTTCACAAGCATCTAATGAGAACATTTCTTTTTCAGGTATTATTCCCCTGGATATTCAGATACACTTCTGGAGAAGATTGACAGCTATCAACCAGTTATTAACTAAGTACAGTTATGCTTTCATATTCAGAATTGCAGCAGAACATTTATTAATAGTTATTATTATCAAAAATCTATATAACAGTCTAGAGTTTTTATTCAATGTGAAGTGCATTTTGATAATACTTTCTAAATTCATATAGTACTTTAAAAATTAGTAGATTTTTAAATGAGGAATTATACATGGCCATTTGCTCTAAAACTGGATTTTAAACAACACTGAAATTTTCAAGACATTTATTATTGTTCTATTATGGTAAAGAAGCCACATACATACACTGGCAAACATGAATAGACACACACATGCATACCTCACCCATGATGAGATATATAAGAGAGAGGGTGTTCAAAAGAATCCTCTTTTATTATGGCTGATTCTTTATATGCATAGCAAAGCTGTCATTGTAAATTCCACAGATAGAGGTGAAGACGTTGAAAGAGGAAACGAACAGCTGTGATACAGAGCACATGAAATAGGTTCTAGTGCTGGTTACATAAATGTATTAACCTCACCCGTAGAATTTGTTGAGACTTGTTTAGTTTTCCTAAGAATTTATGAAAACCCTACTCTTACCACAAATTTCCTCTGCACTTTCCCTCTTTCCCTTCTTGTTCTTTATTGTTTAGGTGGCTAAAAATGGTAGAAGACAGTGTTAAGCATTAGCTACTGCATACACCATTTCCATTTCCATGGAAAAGTTTCTCACCTAGCTTTGTTCCCAAGTATCAAGGAAGCAGTCATGTAAAATAATTCTCAGTATTAACTTTCTCCAGATTAAAAAAATCACATTCACAGAAATTTAGGGCATTATTTTAAAAGCATACCATCAGACTCAGACTTTATATGCATGTTTACTTAGGAAGCAGTACCAAGGTGGGGGAGAATGTTAATAAATTTTTAAATAAAAATAGCACAAGAATTGTTTGTTTCCTGTCTCCTTCCTACTATATTTTTTACATTGGAGAATTTATGATAGACTTGGGAATCTTGGTTTGATGGTTGGTATTGTATTTGTCTTTTGATCTAAAGAGACATTACTTATAGTGATTTCTCCTAGTGGAAGTCAGGTGATTGTGTGACTTGGATAGCCCCTCAGCCATGGTATTTTGAGTTTGGCCCTATTTTCAGTTGTGTGTGTGTGTGTGTGTGTGTTTTAATGAATGTACCTTTTTTATTTTATCTCAAAAAAGGCCCATCAATTTTTTGTTTTAGTTTTGTCTGTATTCTTTTTTGACATTATAATTGCCTAACTTACTCATTTACTCATTACAGTTCACCCAGAACCAACTCATACCTGAAACTTTATTTGGTTTCCAAAGCTATAAATTACATTACAGCCCATCTTTCTCCTAAGTAACTGCTGGTGGATTCAGGTCATACCTCTGTGAATATAAAATATCTTGTACATGCTTCATGATATGTAATAGTGATCCTGCTATATATCAGAGCTGGTTTGTTGGGGTTTTTTTTTTTTGGTGAGAAAAATGTATTACATTTAGAATTAGCCCGCTGGACTCAGTTTAGATGATCCCAATTTTGTTGGCAACATCCAAAGCATCATAATCAGGAGCAAGTCGAACATAGGCCTTCTTCTCTCCATCAGGCCTAATCAAACTGTTGACCTTAGCCACATCAATGTCATAGAGCTTCTTTACAGCTTGTTTAATTTGGTGCTTATTGGCCTTGACATCCACAATGAACACAAGTGTGTTGTTATCTTCTATCTTCTTCATAGCTGACTCAGTGATCAGGGGAAATTTGATGATGACATAGTGGTCAAGCTTGTTTCTCCTGGGAGCTCTCTTCCGGGGGTATTTGGGCTGCCGTCGGAGTCTCAGCGTCTTAGGCCGCCGGAACGTGGGTGACGTGCGGATCTTCTTTTTTTTTTTTGGCTGTGGACGCCCTTCAGGACTGCCTTCTTGGCCTTCAATGCCTTTGCTTTGGCTTCAGTTTTGGGAGGGGCAAGGGCTTCCTTCTTCGCTTTCGGCGCCATCTTCGTAGAAAGCTTGTTGTTTTTTTTTAAATGATGTTATTCTAGAGTGTTTTCTTTCCAGATGATGATTGAGAAGCTTAAAAAAAAAGGTGCCAGGTACTACCACAACAGTAACAGAACTTTGCTGTTTTCTGAGATTTTTTTTTTTTAATGGAGTGTGGTGGATGTCTCTGTTATTTTTGTTCCAATGACTGCCGAATCTGGAAAAGCTGTTGTTGTTGATGCATAACACACCACTATTGGTCTTTATATATATGTGTGTGTGTGTGTGTGTGTATACACACACACACACATATATATGATTTGAATTTTTGGAAACTAGCTATGCTGTCAACTTTGGATAAAAGTATCCCAGTTGTACCGTGTTGAATTGGCACTGTACAGAAATTAACAGCCATATTGATCTAGAAGTGTTAAACTTAATCTTTTTCCCCCATTTGTACAGGGGTAATGCACTGTATTACATATGTAAGGTCTTATCTACATGGGTTTGATTACAGAAACTAATATTCTCTAAATTAAAAAAAGGGAGATTCAGCAGATTGTGGGGATTATCAAACAATACTATTCATATCAAAAGCAAGTAAAATTTTGCTGAAGATTGTTCCAACAGTTGAACAGTGTATCTACAGGGAACTGTAAGACACTCATATTGGATTAAGAAAAGGCTGTGAGACAAGAAATATCATTCCTAATGTCAAATGGATCTCAGCAGAAAGCAGAAAATACCAGAGAAATGTTTATTTGTGTTTTATTGATGATGCAAAGACATTTAACTGTGTATCATAGCAAATTAAGGTGAACATTGAGAAGAATGAGAATCCCAGAACTGCTTATGTGAAACCTATATATAGACCAAGAAGCAGTGGTCTGAACAGAACAAGAGAACCAAGAGAGGTATGCATCAGTGTTGGCATCCTTTTTCCATACCCATTTAGTCTTTATAATGAGCAAATAATTCAAGAAGTTGTACAATATAAATAAGAATATGGCATCAGGAATGGAAGATTTGAAGCACTTAGTGAAGAAGATCTAAGACTAAAACCTTTAGTATGGATTGCATTTCAACATAAGAAAACAAAAGTCCACTGGACCAAAAGATAACATTATGATAGACAATGAAAAAATTGAAGTCAAGAATCTTATTTTACTGGGATCAACAATCACACCCATGGTGTAGCAATCAAGAAATCAAAAGACATGTTACATTGGGAAAATCTGTCCGGGATCTCTCCAGAGTGCTAAAGAGCAAAGATAACCGTTTAAGGACAAAAGTATACCTGCTCCAAGCCGTGGCATTTTCAGTTGCTTCTTATACACCTGAAAGTTGGACATTGAAAGTGACAGAAGAGTCACTGCATTCTCCTTCTATCATCCCTAGTCATTGTCCAGTTTTCTGATGCATAGCACATAATTGTGAAGACCATGGCCTGGATCAGGCGCACCTTATGCTTATAATAAACAATTAACAATTATGTAAGGTCTCTAAGTGTCGCTGTACTGATCTGACACAGTTCTCTGATATAATTGCTACTTTAATAACAAAATGAACATTTTTTTTTTACTAATTCTTCAACACCTCCCAGGTCTCCTCTTCTTAGATAAGTGGAGTTTAAACCAGATGATTTAGGATAAAGACAAGACACATTGCCTGCCCTCATGGAGTTTTCTAATATAAACACATTTGCCCAGACACAGGGTGCAGAATAGGCACAAAGTATGAAACATGAAACAGGCATATTTAACTTAGATTGGAAAAACAAATGCCAATGTCATATATACAGGATGTTGACCTATTTTTCTAACCTTTCCCTCTCAAGCTCCTTGCTTAAAGAAAGGATTATAGATTTGATTGTTTTAAATTCAATTTGAAGTCCTGCTTAACATAAACCCTGACCTTAAATTCTTGGGTGAGGCCATCACCTATCTGGGATGTCAAGTGTAGAATCTAACCTTGGAAGAATTAAAATTTTTCTGTTGTGTTCTCAAACAGCCAACTCTTTGATTAAGGTGGGTGTTAGCAAATATCAAAGCTTATGAACTGTAACTTCTTTTGCCACAAAAATCATTGCTTATATTTAGAAACTGTTGATTTATAGCTGTTCTGCTCCTTGTAGAGAATAAAAGCATTGAACAGCAATCTTAACTGTAATTATTACATTTACCAGTTGGTTAAAAGATTTTGGACTTTAAAAACAATTCTATTTATCTATGCAGTTAGTATTCTAGTAATATGAATTCTTATACTGTTGGTGTTTTTGTGGTTTTTTTTTAATTTTTTAAAAATTTTTAGGCTGTTGTTTTTTCTAAGTCTTGGTAGGCTATAAAATAAGGTGTGTATTTAGTGATAGAGCTTTACAGTATGGTATATTTTATTGTTTTTATAAAAATCATTTAAAAAATTTAGACTGTCTATGAAAGGATGAAAAAAAATTGCAGAAACACCACTCTAAACCTTACAGTTAAGAAAGTACATGCCGGGGGGGGCGGGGGGGGGGAATTAACACAATTTCAAATACTTCTAAGTATTTGTACAGCTATAAAACATTTTGGAAATCCATATTCATACTGTGCATATGCTACTTTAAAATTAAAAATCCAAAAGGTAACAGTATTCTCATTTTATGAAAGATGGTGGGATATTTTTTTATTTCAATGAGTTTAGATAATTACATAAAGGTCTCTTTAATGATGATTTAGAGGTCATATAAAACATAAATGGACAAAAAAATTAAAAAAACAATGGACAGACACCTATTAGTAATGATTTAGGTTATTTGCTGGACTAAATTTGAAACAGTGCTGTCTGTGATTTGTAAGCTTTCTAACAATGTGGTTTGGTGTATATATGTATACATTAAAGTCTAATTTTTTTTATCTGTACAAAATATGTAATAACACAATCTTGTTTAAATTTGTGCTTTTTCAAATATGTTACTGATGGTAAATTGTAACCAAAGTATTTTTTAATCTAAGGAAGTCTAACTTTTTGACAACTGTTGTGACCTATATT